ACCCTGCCGCCTCAGGTTTCCTGTTTGCTGAGGCCGGCTTTTCTCCTTCTGGTCGTGCCTCTGTTTCTCGGCAGGCCATCGTCACTCCGACCGGTATCACTATGGGGACCTCCTCTTGTTGTGCCGCCGTAGGTTTCGTGTCCACTGAGGACGGCTTTCCTTCTTGTAGACGTGCCTCTATCTCTTGGCAGGCCATCTCATTGTGGCTGGCATTCACCCTTTTGACGGTGAGTGCGTAGTGTGTGGGCCTTAATGCATATGCCGGCGTTCGCCCTTCTCCGCCGGCCGTCGCTCGTTTCCTGACAGTTGGGTACCCTTCATGTTCGTAGGGGCAGTTATTCGCGAAGTGGCCCAGTTTTCCACAACTCCAGCACCCTGATTATCTTCCATCTCCTCGTTGGGTGGGGGCCGATCGGTACTTCCGGTATGTCTTGGTGCTACCTTCGTGAGGTCTAGGTGCTATCAGTACCACCTGCAGCTCTAGTGCTTGTCGGAGGGCCTCGTTTACCTTCTTCTCACCTCCTAGCAGCAGCTGGATCTTTATATCGGCATCTCGTATTCCGTATACGAAGGCTGTTCCTGCCTCTCTTCCTATGTGGTCTGCAGGTAGATTGGGGTAGGCACGATGGGAAAGCAGTTCAATGGCCGTGGCAAAGTCTTGCAGGGATTCTCCAGGTTTCTGGGTCCTTGTTCTTAATTGGTAGCAGTAGGCAGCTGCAAAGTGTTGGTCCCTGAAACGGTCCTCTAGAGCCTGAAGAGTTTCTTCGTAAGTGGCATTTGCCGGAATGCCGGGTAGCATTTCTGCCGCCCGGCCCTTCAGAGCGGTGATCAGGTATGTTAATTTTTCCCTGTCCGACCATTGGTTGTGTTCTGCTACGGTCGTGAATTGTTGCCGGAACACGCTCCACGTTGAATTCCCGTTGAATGTCTGTGGCTGAGCTGTGCTCGCGACGATCGTTGATGTATTTCCCCGCTCGGCCTTCATTTGCACCATGTCCAACCGGGCCTGGAGCTCGCATTTGGTTTCGTCAATTGCTGCGCAGGTTTCATTGTAGTTCTTCGTCAAGTTTTCCTGGAGTTTATCTGTCCGCGCGCAGAGGGACACTTCAATCTGCTCAGTTATTTCTGACCGGAGAGTCTGTTTGTCGTGTTCAACGATCGCCAAAATGTTTTCAACTCTATGTTGGATTTTATCATCCAATTCTGTTCGCATAGATTGCATTGCGGCCTTCAGTTCTTCCTTGTCGGCCACCGCCTTTTCTTGGTTGGCGTCTAATTTGGCCATTAAATCCTCTTTGTCTGTCTTCCTATTTTCTTGCATGGCTTTCATCTCTTTCAGCATATCGTCCTTATCAGTTTTCCTATCGGCGTATAATTTTGCCAGCATGATATTTGCTTTTTCTTGATTGAATTCTAACTTTGCCAGGAAATCTTCTCTTTCTTTTTTTCGATTGGCATCTGCTTTTACTTGGTTTGCCCTAATCTCTTTCAGCATTTCTTCCGTCTCGATTTTTCTATCGGCCTCCAACCTTTCTTGGTAGGATTTCATGTTGGCGTCCATTCGTGAAGCATTTCTTCTTTGCCGGTTTTCATGCTGGCGTCTATCCTAGCCAGCATTTCCATCATCTGCTGCATCTCCATCTTGTAGCAGTAGAATACTCGATGCACAATAATTCAGTTATTTGTCGAGACATGTGTAAGTCCAAATCCCACTTCTGACACCAGTGTAACGTGTTGGGTTACTGAATACGCCGTAGAGATCGTTAATTGGTTTATTTAACAACCTACTAGTAACGGCTACAATTAATTATAACACAGTTGCAGGGTTTCACACTTTATAACCCTATGTGCAAATCAGTTCACTCTGTCTTCAGTGGTCTACACGTTTACAGTAGGGGAGCTGTGTATCACTGTATCACACACTCATAATTACACACACGTCCGGTTCTTCTTATCGCGACAGCTGCTATACTCCAACTATAGTCGGCTGACTGGAGAACTGTTGATAACACACTTGCTCGTAGGCTTGCTCGGAACTAGCTCGGAACTGTCTTCAGCGATGGCCACATTATAATTCGCTCATAGCTGCTGTGCAGTTCCCTTATATAGCCGCAGTGCTTGCCTGTTGCGTGCCACGTCACACTAGGATCGGTGCCACGTCATCCTGTTGTGTCAACTCGCGTCGCGCGTTGTTACTGTGTGGGGGGGGAGCGCTGACTCACCCGCCGTGTCACTGCTGGTGGGGGGGGGGTCCCCTTTGCGTAACATGTCCCAATATTATTGAGGCCTTCCTCTGTACAGTGGTGTTTACCAACAATTCCTTGTAATATTTTTATGTACTATATAATAGATTTTGTGATTTTTAAAAACAGAGNAGCAGAACATTATTTTTATGTAAGGATGGAGGTAGAGTCCAGTCTCTGAAATGACATTTCAAATAAAAAATCAGGATACTGGATAATGTTCAGAGAATTGATCAAAGCATTCTTAAATAATTTCCAGATAAATCGGTCATTAGCAGCACTTCTACTGCATGTACAGTATTTATATGTGTACAGAGGGTCCCCAAATAAGACTGCTCCCCATTCTTTATGAAATAAAATGATTCTTGTGAGAGTCAGGGAAAGAACAAACATGAGTGGTAGGCGGTGAAATTGGTCACCTGCTCCCCCATGCTGCCTGCATTGTACATGTCCCCTCCATCAACACTGATGACAGACCAAGAATGCAAAGAGTGCAGGAATACAAGTGACAGCTGGTTGGAGTGAGGACAGTCGTAGCTGCCAGGCAGACCAGCAGCATAGTAGCTGTTTCAGTATTTTGTGACTCAAGTGTAGATATAAATGTAAAACTTTCAGAGGTTGGTGTGAAAGGTGAAAAAAACTGTTCCTGGTTCTTTTCAGAATAGTGTATAACTGAAGTATTATATAGTCATCATAATTCCATTTCACAGAAGCCAGTTCAGACAACAGTGTATTTAGTAGTCAAAACAGGTGACTATAGCCTGTGTAATTTTCATGGTTAACTATATGCTATGGTGCATGGAACTTACATTGAGTGTTCAACAAATACTGTATACAGAACTATAATTATATTCTGTATGGATGTGACAATTGGCCTTTCAGGCTAAAGGGAGAATGTAGTTTGAGAACTAGGTGCTAGGGAGAACAGTTGGTTCAAAGGAACAGAAAGCAAGAGGGTGGTCAAAATTACAAAATGAGGAGCACCATAATTCATATCCCCACTTAATGTTGTGATTAAAGCAAGATGAATAAGATGACAGGAGATATATTGCCGACATGCAGGAGATAAGAAAGGCATATTCACTTTTGTCACAGAACCTGGAAGGAAGAGACTTAGAAACCGGTGGTTAGATTGGGTAATATTATTAAAATAAATTCTAAAGAACTGGGATTTTAATATTTGGACTGGATTGAACTGACTCAGGATGGGCCCAATGGAAGGCTTTTGTGGACATGTAAATCTCAGGGGGGTCCTTAAGAGTGGAGCTATTGTTGTTCATTTATTTAATTTTTGAGAAAGTCATTGGGCTATGAGTACATTACGTGAAGGATGAGAATAAATGCATATCATGAATTTAGGAGACCAGATTTTTCAGGACTAGCATTTATCTGAATATAAAAATAAATCTTTACCACTTTCTGCTGTAGGAATTTTGCTATGAGGTTACAATTACATTGCAGCAGGTGGAGAGGTGCCACATATGTTTGCCAGGTCAACCCTTATGTCTGGAGCTGGACTTATGCTGCCTGACACAGGACTCAACCCAATTGTAGCTGCACCTGCAAAGTCCAGTCCCAAGAAGAGTCATTATCTGCCCATTGAGCCAGACCCGAGTAAGTGTACCATTTAAGAGTGGCTGTAATTTGTAACACTAGTTAACCCCTGAGTGGTGGGTACATTCAAATAGCTACACTTGCTGTGGATGGAGGACAAATAAATCTTTGGGCCCTGATGTGTACAGTTATGAAGAAGATTCCAGATCTGTTAGAAATACGTAGGCGAGTCAAATGAAAATCATAAAACTGAGATAAAAATTCAAAATATCATGCCATTGTCCTATAAGTTGGCAGACATGTTACCAAAGCTATAAAGAGTATCCTATAGGTGTCAGTATAATGCAGACAAACAGAATGCTGGTTTGAAGATGTCTGATACACTGCATACATGCATGAAAGAACAATATTCTATAATTCGTTTTTTGAACAGTGAACATGTGAAAGCGATTGCAGTTCATCGACAGATGAAGGTTCAGTATGGTGATGCATGCTTGTCACAGCAGCAAGTGTATGAGTGGAGTAGGAAATTCAGAAATGGTGTGACATCAGTGGCAGATGCTCCTCGCCCGGGTCAGGTGCAGAGTTGTGACCCCTGAGTCTATTGCAGCAGTTGATGCCCTAGTGACGTAGAATCGCTGAATGTCGGTGGATGAAATAGCCGAAATTCTTAACTTGAGTCATGGATCAGCATACCATGTCATTCATGATGTGCTTCAGTTTCACAAAGTGTCTGCAAGGTGGATGCCACAGCAACTGACTCCAGAATTGAAACGATGTGTTGACGCCTGTGAAGAACTTCTGTTGCACCTTGAAGCAGAAGCTGATGGCTTCCTTTCGAGAATTGTTACTGGCGATGAAACTTGGGAGCACTACCACCAACCAGAAACAAAGAGAATGAGCAAGGAATGGCTCTCCTATTTTCCTTGTTTTGTAGACATGGCACACATTTGTAGCCCAGATTGCTTCTCATTTTGAGGTATCTTATGGATGAAGTGCCTGTCAATGAAACATGGCACTTTTGTTGCCTGGTAAGTATTGGCTTGGAACTTTGTATGCACCAAAAATCCTGTACTGAACAAACAATCCACCAGCTGCACTCCAAGCAGCATATTTGATGTCCTGTATTTATGATCACCATCTGCTTCAAAGTAGGCTTCTATTAACGTGTTCTGTCTTAGAGACTGCCCTCCAATTTCTGTATTACATCCACATCATAGTGCACAATACTATATTGACCAGCTTGCAAAATACAGTAGAACTTGGTTATAACGTCATCAAAGGGACCTAAAAATAGTGTCGTTATAAATGAATGTCGTTGTAACCGAAATGGGCACTTCCACAGTAGCCTTATGTTAGTCACGTAAAAATCTACCAAAAACCGAGTTAAAATGTTGCATTTTTTAGTGAAATACGTAGTTAAGTACAGACTAACGTAACATTAACGTGGAATTGCCCAAATGTGTAATATCAAAGACATATTACAGCGCTTTTCACTGACAATACACACAATATTTCACGAATCACTTTAACTTTCTCTTCANTGAGGGTGGGCAGACACATCGAACTTTCCCATGATATCAGAGAAATTCAGGAATGAAAATGATGTTACATATGAGGTTGATGCATTTGTGCATGTCGTACTAAGCAAGGTATAAAAACAGTTGCTTTATGAGGAATTAGTTCGTACCATTGAATATTTGACGCAATAGACAAGGTGTCGCAGAAACCAATGTTGCTATAACCAAGTTTTACCGTATCTCATGTACACTTATGCATTTCTGCTCATTGAGAAAAGACACCAAGAATTGGTCTTTCAAATATACCCCCAACGTGGGTAGGTTTGATTCCTCCTTTGTCTTATATGTTACATTTTTTATGTTCCATATATGTGATACATTTTTATCATGGTCACTTTTCTTTTGTCATGCCATTTTGTCACCCTACAGATCCTGAATGCTGTGTAGTCAGGTCACACATTTTCTAGCTTATCTTTCACAGCTTCCAGAACTTTTTCCCTGTTCAGTTCCAAAGTACTGACAGAATCTCTTGTGGATAATTTGTAATATTCTTGCCAGGGTAGATGACTTATAGAAGTGCAAGTCCTGCTTATGCTTCTTCACATCAGTTGATATAAGAGTGATCTCAAGCCTCATGTCCTACCTTGCGGACACAAGGAAGTGGCTGTTGCTATGTCACAAATTTAAAATGTGCTCTCCACAAATTGTGAAGACTTAAGTGGAAGGTACTGTTTGCATAATAGATGGCTCTTCATAGATTTCGTTTACAGATGTATCTTGGTTTGGCAGAAACGGTTCATAAAATATCTTATTTAGATGTGAAACAACAGGATTTTTTTTTTAAAAGCTTTGGTATTATTGATCTTTCATTTTATAAATGAAACATTTATCAGTTCAAAATGCTTTTTTGTAATAATGTCACCAAAGCCTGACACTGATAGAGCCCTCTGTGTGTGGATAAGTATGGTATGAATTACACCCATTATCATAAATAAGCCCAGCACAACATATGGGCCTACCGTATTTTCTCCTCTGTAACTGAGTTTCAATAATAGTTGATATGTTGAAAAATGAGCCTCCATTGAATTATGAAATTTTTCAGCATAATCGATTTTTGTTAACAATCATTAGGACATGTTCCATGAAAATCAGTTTGATAATGGTTATTGTGTCCATTACACAGTTTGCAGAATTTGGTGCTCCCAGTGGCATGTCAGATCTGGCCAGTGTAAATCTAACCATATTCACAGAGGATGCTGGAAATTTCCAGTGTCTTCAAGGCCTCCTTCCCTCTTTCTCGTTTTTTCTGATTTCCTTCCCTTCCTCCCCCCCCCACTATTCTTCTCCTCATCCCTCTTCTTATGCTTAATTTTAAAATGTGGCTTGTCCCTTTCTTTGGCACTCTTTCCTTTCTTTCTCTCCTGAGAAAACAGCCCTTTGAAGGGCGATTAGATTGCTCCTATTCCCAGTCCTAACCCTCCCTTCCCTATAAAGGACTGTGTACCAGTTTCCCGATCTGCTTCATTTGTTTATCCTACAATCTGAGGCTGGAGGTTCCTCAAAAACAGTAATTATCTGCTAAGCTACACCATTTCACATCCTAGAAGATCATTCAACTCTCAAATGTCCCTTACCAAATCAGTAATTTATTTCTGGGAATCATGCAAGTCTGATAAATTCATTTTGTGATTAAAATATTGAGTTCGTTTTTTTTAAATAAGTTAAGTGACTTGGAAAATAACCACGATATATCGGGTGTCTGAATGAAAGGTATCCAAAATAAAAAAAAAAATATATCTCGGAAAGTAATTTTCATTCACGTATCCGGTTTATGTCATTGGAAAGGAAAACCCTGTAAGTTTTTTCTTTTCCATGCCCGGCTTACGTGCATGTGCCACCACATTTCTGCCACCAAGTTAGGAATCACTTGGACAGAGTGATGGCTGGGAGATAGATTGGCAGAAGTGGGTCCATCGCTTGGCCTCCTAGGTCGCCAGATTTAACCCCACTGAATTTTTTCTTGTGGGGTTATGTGAAGAACATTGTCTACCAGGTTAAGATCAACAACCTGCAACACCTGAAAGTCCGCATAAGGGACACTGTGGCTATGGTAACACCAAACATGCTGGATCACCTGGATATTTGTCATGCCACCAAGGGAGCCCACGTTGAAATTTATTGAGAGTTATATACTCAGAAATAACTGATAGTTTCCCTTTGTAGTGGTTTAACCCATAATTGTGTATAATAAAATCTTTTTGGATATAATTATTTTATTTTGAACACCTTTCATCTGGACATGCTGTATGTACAGATACACACACACTGTGAACTTCTATGTCATTGCATGCTCTTAGTACATTCAGTGAGAAGTCTGTTCATGTTTAATCTCCTCTTCTACCATGGGGTTAGTAGATGGTCACTAAGTGGAATAACAGGATTACTACTCTAGTAAATCTGTATTTTGCTTCATTGGTTGTCTGTCTGATTAGCATATGCACATTAATTGACATACAAATTTGTGTGTTTTACGTTGTAATATTGCAGTGCTCTTTGTATTGTTGCCAGTTGAAGAGACAGAGGTCCACCCTGTTATGATGTGGCAGTCATCATCCCTGCTCCCTCCTCCAGACACCCAAAAACTGGATAGCAAGGCTCTGGAACCAAAGGAACTGAATCAAGTTCTGAGTGGGAAGATCATGCCTCCACCTCCACTGTTACCCATCAGAACACGCAGAGCTTCCTCAAATTTGCGACTGATAGTGCCAGACACAGATCCAACCTCTCTGATGCCAGAAAAGATGAAGACTGAGCTGGCAGAAGAAACCAACAGTCAGAGTCCTGAGGATGTGAAGGGCATTGATCTACGCTTGAAGCCAGTAGCAACATCAAATCCGTTAGCAACTGTAGCTGATCTGTCTAGCACACAGTCACCAACGATGGCCACATTCCGACAGTTTGTAACAGGGAGTACTAATGTTCCTCTCCCAAACCAGAGTGCACAAAGTGTGGAGAAGTACTTGTCGAATCTAGAACATGCCACTGACACTGCTCTGGCTCCGAAAAGTATCTCAGATCGTATTGCATCAGCATGCAAAATAGCAAGTTCTGTTGCTCCCACAGCCTCTCAGATTTGTTTGAACACACACCCTGGCAGTCCACACTTTGACTCAGCCTCAGCACTCTTCAGACAGCAGCAGTCTAACACTGCAGCAGGTGCTGTGGATCCAAAGCTCCAGTATGCAAGTGACTTATCTGTGCCCTTGTTATACAGTGCCAAGACAGCTGCCAAAATGGCAGGGCAAGAGTGCAAACTTCAGGTTCCTGCCAAAGAGACATCTCTGCTGCAACAGGCCACTGCAGCTCGACGCAAGTCCATGTTTAATGATACATTAGCCATTACTCCCAGTGCTGAAACATTACTTGGTGGAAGAAGACCCATTGTGATAATACCGGAATCTCAGAATGTTGAAAATGGGATATCAAGTGTCCATTCCACTCCAGCTGAGTCCATTGATCAGAACATACCAGTGATGAGTACTGTGTCTAAGGCATCAGCTCTTCTGCAGCAGAGATCTGAACTGATATACAGCAGCCCTCAGAGACGTGCCATGAGTTCTCTACTTCCTGCTTCAGTACAGTCCACAGAGACAGGCATGCTGGACAGACTGTCCAAAGGGAATAACACTGTAGGTATAGTTGGTAGGGTCCATGATTCCCCATTACTGTCCCCTCCTTCACCATTGTTAGGTGACCAGATGTTGGCAGTTACCCAGCCATCCATTATTGTTTCTACACAAAATGCAAGGTTAGATGCATTGATCTCTTCAGCCATGAACAATCATGTCTTGGGCCCAGATAACCACATTCAGTCTTCGAACACTGACAAATTGGATGCACTGGTGAATTCTGCAGCTGCTAGCCACATGATACCAGCTCCAGTTACTGCTGCAGATAACATAATGTTAAACAACCCTCTCCAGGCACCTCTTAGACAGCAAAGTGCTTCCTCGACAGACCAGATGTCTCCGATTTCTGTCAAGAAAATGACAGATACAGGTTTAGGGAGTTTTGATATCTTGCCAGCTCAGAATTCCAACACTGAGATTTCTCAGAGTACTCAGTTGCTGAACAGTGCTATGTCAGCAGCCTTGAATGAACATCTGCTTGTCACACCCACTAAGGCTCAGGTCCAGACAGGAACTCAGCTAAGCACTGTGCCATCCAGCCCTGAGAATGCACTTTATACTAATCATGATCAGGCATCTCCTACTGTCACAAAGAGCCATATCCTCAACTCTTCCATTGCAACCACTGCTGAAGGCCAGATCCTTGTTGCAAGTCCTACACATACAACACCTGTCACTGTGAAGAGCATGGTTCTGGAATCACCAAATACTTTGCCTCATAATGATATTCTGGCTTCCAGTTCATCACCTAATGCTCCTCTTGCGGTAAAGCAAATGGTTGCTGCTGTATCACCTGAAGGTCAGGTGCTCATTGCTAGTCCTACCAGTGCACCCATGGAAAACATAATGAATTCAGCTATTGCACAGCAGGGGAATGGTCAAATGATTCTTACAGGCCCCACATGTACTTCACCAGTGGCCATGAAAACTATGATTTTTGAATCTGCAGCATCTGACCAATGCTTGGTAAACCCAGTCCACACATCACCTATTGCAGTGAAGACCATGATTTTGAAGTCTCAGCTTTCGGGCAGTGTCGATGAGGGCTTGGTGCCAAGAACAACAGCCCAGTCTGCACACATGTCCACAGAGAGTGCCAGGCTTGATGCACTGGTTCAGTCCACTCTTAATGAGCATGCCTTTGTGTCAAATGAACCACAAATGACATCAGCACTGGATGTTCAAACAGGAAATGGCATGACAATTTTGACCCATCAGGCACATGTACAGCAGTCATCTCAAGTCCCCTCCACATCCCCACTCATTTCACATCCTTCAGCATGCATTACTACCCTCATCACTCAGTCACCAGAACCCCCATCTCACCTGCCAGTGCCAGCTGTAACAACAGATGATGCATTAATGAACACAATATTCACAACAAGCAGGGGTACCTCAGGCACAGACTCTTCTTTGCAAGCCCACAGTTTCAACAAGGAAGGGACTGTGATGGTTGGAGAGGACTCCCAAACGCCATGCTGTACTAGTGGCAGTGCCTTGCTCCATGCCTCTCAGTTCACAACTGCATCCTCGAACTCAGGAAGCTTAGTTACCGGGATCACAATGCCATCTAAAATGGCTGAACAACTGGCAGCACAGAGCAGGGATAGTTCTTCAGGGTTTGTAACTCAGATGCTGCTTGGTCTGGCAGCAGATGAGAAGATAAAGAAGGATTCTGATATTGCACTAATGTCCAGGGACAAGATTACAGAGTCCCTGCAACAACAAGGAGATTTCTCAAAAAGCAAGTTACCTGAAACAAGACTTTTTGCTGCACCTCAGATGTTGAAAGCAGCAGTAGGAGATCTGTTAAAATCAGCAGTTGAAGATGTACCAAGCTTGCACAGTCAGAGTCGGGTCACAACAGTAAGTGACTTGTTGATTACTAAGCAGCAGTCACAGGAAGTGCAGGAGCAGGAGTGCAAGCAACATCAGCTTTCTGTCACGCCACAGACCACAACATGTGTGACCGTGAGCACTGCAACCACCCCTGGGCAACCACAAAAGAAGGCTGAAGAGGGAATGGTACCGCAGGAGCTCACACAGATGTCAGAGAATGATCTGCTGAGCTACATTAACCCCAGTGCTTTTGACCAAGGTTAGCATTTCATTTTATCTCCACTGATTAGTGCACACTTACTGAGGATTGTTATATTGTTATGCATTGCTTCCACATACCTTTCTTGATAATGGAAGAAATGACAAAATTATAGATTTCACCAAAAGCATATTTTGGACAGATTTTGATGAAATGTGGGACTTGATATGATCCCCCAGAAGTGACGAAGGTATAAAGTATTATGGAAAGTCATGTTATGAAAGGTAGTTTTTTTCTATGATAACTGAAGAAATGCATCCAAGAGCAGCATGGGTTGATGTGATATAAATTGGTTGGGTAATGAGGCACCTTTTAGATTTTTGTAATTTCACTTGGACACCATGCAAGAGTATAGTCATACTCTAGGTCAAAATGCTCTGTAAATATAAGATCAATTTAATTTTTTCTTAAAGATTAAGAGAGAAATCATGTGAAATAAATATCATTAGTTTGTGTATAAAATACAAGTTAAAATAATGGTTGTTATGTCTGTGCTTGGTTTCAGTGTGAATGGTCGGAGTGGAACGGTTCTCAGCCATAGTATTACTACATGATGGGGCACACTTGTGGTTAGATTCCAGATGAAGGATAATTGCTTTTTGTTGCAATATTATGTGTGTAGCTTTGTATTACAGTAATCTCAACTGTACAATGGTGCCAGTACAACCTGATACTAATTATGTATATTTTTAGTGGATTTGGAGTTTGTATAAGCCAGTTGTAGGACTGACAAAGTGTTAACAGGATGCTGTACAGTGCAAGTAATGAAGAGTTTAGTAATGTACAGTCATAGCTCAGAGACTTGTAGTGTTAGCGAAAAACAGTTTTTACAAATGAAATGGCTGCATGATATGACTGGGAATTTGGTCTCAAGGGACAATGAAGGTTAGGTGTAGTGCGAACAGAACTGATCCTTGCAATGAATGAAAAGGCTGACAGAGCTGATTGCTTAGCACAAATGAAGACCAAGCAGTTTCTCATCTTTCAGTTTCCTTTGTTACTAGACTGATATTGTTTTATTTAGTTCAGGTTTTGCTCAATGTATCTCAGTTGCTGTTGTAAGCATTGTCATTAAAGTATATATTGTACATATACTGAGTGAAGTGATAGGTGCATAAATGGTCACATTGTGTTATTGATACAGCTTTCCTATAATGTTAATCAGATTAGACCATAAAAATGGTTGGTATTTTTGTAAATACTAAACCTTTATTGTTGGTGCAGAAATATGTTTTAATGACCACTGTGATAGTTGGTCACCTTTGTTAAATGTTGTATTTTTGTTGATGAATGTATAACATATTGAGTGTTGGTTGACTGCTAAAATGTGTAATACATGTGTCTGTATGGTACATGTATTTCTTAACTGTAAAGATGGACTCAAACAGTGTACAATAGCAAACGGATAACACAGCACTGAATCTGACTTTGAACAATGTTGGGACCATATTAATGCATTCATTATCCACTGTATGTTTCATCCACACTGAAAAGATTTCATTTCCAAATTATATTAAATATAGAAAAGAATAAAACTGCAACAGACCATCACATGTTTGTACATCATAGTTGTTTTAGTTCCAAAATTGTTATAATTAGACTGGATTGTAATGTTATGTTTATCCATATCACAAAGGAAAAAGTATTGTCTGTTGTGTTGCATTATCTTTATTTATCATACTACTCTGAACATGGCCTTATCTTACTGAAAATGAATTCAGATTAATATTATTTATTCTTCTCATTTTGGAAATGTAACATTTTTGGAACAGTATTGAAAATGTTTTACAACCTTTTCCCTTTGGGAAATAAAAAAAATGCCTTTCGTTCAATGAAAGATTACAGCTTGCCTGCTTTTCTGTGTTCTAGAGTGATAATCTATATATAAAATGCCAAATTACTATTGCATGGTGGCTTTAGAAGTATATTACAGAAATAATAAAACTTGTTCAAGGAATAAATGAGAAATTATTTATTATGCTTCAGTGGTGACAAAAGGTGAAGTCAGTAATTCTCACATTATTAATGTAGCTGTTTGGAAGTAGTCTGTAACTCAAGATCATCGTTGGACCCTGTTTTAAGTCATTTCACTCTACCACATTATCATGTTTCCTTAAGAACTATTTTGATATTATGCTCCTTTCTCTTGTCTGATGCAGTGTTTCTCAACCACTGTATGTCTGTACATTTAACAACTTTTCACAAAGTATAGTAATAGCAATGAGAACTAGCATAACCTGTTTTCCTTATTTGGCATGCATTGATTCTGTTTTGTCAAATTGGTTGCTACCTCGTCATTGTTAATGTTTCTGTATATTTCTTATGTACAGCAGTTTTCCAGAAGAGGCATTTTAATTGTTAATACTTTGATAATTTTTGGGGATGAGCAGTGCATATAACAAGAGCAAGTGAATGAGTGAATGTCCTCTTGAACATGTGAGATTTGAGGTCCTCATAGCAGTGACTATGAAGAGTACTATCTTCTGGGATGTAACATCATGTGGTCTGATGTCTCCATCTTCAGAGTCAAAGAGTGAGCCCAGCAAAGAAACAAGTAAGTAGAGTAAGTAGGCTTTCAGAAGAACTTGCTGCAAACTTCTTCCACACTACACAATATCACATTTCAGAAGATGGTATTCTTCAATATCAACATCATGTGCATGCACACAGGCATCTTTACAGTGAATTGTGATTTGATGTATAGTACTTGAAGCAAGTGCTGAAACTGGCCTGGGATGTGCTGTTACATGGTCATATAGCACATCTGCAAGATACCATTCAGCTCAGTCTGGCTGCATCTTCTTCCCACTTCACATTGCACACCTGCATGACTCATCAGAAGACTAGCTTCTCATACTGTTGAAGTATATGTAGTGTGCTGCTATGTAGAAAAGGTTGAAAGGTACTGGCCTAATATTTCAAGTAGTTTCATTCCATAATAGTTTTCTTGTTTCATCCAACTCCTTTTAAAATCTACAATGCTAGTATACAAGGTCTGACAATAAAGTTCGTGAATTCGCCACTGTGTGCTTTCTGCGGGAGCAGCGGACAGAAACCTCAGTATGGTTTGGTGATGTTAGCATATCAGCATTTCACATCTGTGTTGTTGATCTATGGCAGTCTCTTCTGAGTGGCATCTATTTATTGTTGGAGTGTGTTTTGGTGTGCCTTCATGAGAATGTCGGAGTTTGAATTAGAGCAACAAATGAACATTAAATTTCTTGTTAAATTGGCAAGAGTGGAAGCGAAATTAGAGTGATGTTAATCCAAGTTTACGGGGATAATGCCATGAAGAAAACAGCAGTTTACAAGTGGGTGACATGTTTTCCTGAGGGAAGAGATTGTCACTGATGAGAGATCAGGAAGGTCAGCAGCAGGTAGAACTGAAGAAAATATTGCAAAAGTTCATCAGACTGTGCGTGAAAATCATCAGCTTACTGTCAGGAGTATAGCAGAGCAAGTGAACATCGAAAGAGAAACAGAAAATCTTAACTGAAGATCTTGACTTGAGGAAGGTGTGCGCAAAAATGGTCCCAAAGGCCCTGCTCACATGGCAGTGGCTGTGAGGGAGTTCTTAGCTAATAAACAAACAGCTGTGCTGGAACACCCTCCATATTCACTGGATCTAGCCCCCAGTGACTTTTTTCTGTTCCCAAAGATAAAGGAAGGCATTTGGATAACATTAATGACATCAGGAGTAACACAATGGCAGCTCTGAAGGCCATTCCACAAAAACAGTTCCAAAATTGTTTTGAAGGGTGGACTAGGTGCTGGCATCAGGGCATAGCTTCCCAAGGGGAGAGTAATTTGAAGAGGACCACGGTGCTATTCAGCAATGAGGTATGTAGCACTTTTACCATGATGAGTTCGCGAACTTTACTGTCACACCATGTAAATTTGTTGGTTGAATTATGTCAGATCTGACCTAATAACATATATTCAATATATTTTAAAATTAAAAATAGATGTATTAAATTTTAAAAATTAAAAACAAGATAATGTAAGGAGATGATGATTGCAATAAGTGGGAATTTGTGGGGGGGGGGAGACACTGGGGGAATTCATTATGGTATGCCTTCCATGTACTTACTGTAATGCAGCAGTTGTAAGACTTTCTTGCCAGTAAGGTAAAGCTAATATTGTTTCTGTGCTTAACTAATTAAGCACTGCGCCATGAAGATGTATGGGGGAATGGATATATAGATTCATGTATTCTTGACCTCAGCGTTAGTTGGAGGCAAGTAGTCAGCTTCACACTCCAGCTGCTTAACCCCTGGGGAAAGAGCCTCCAGTACCCACTGGATAGGAGGCTGGGTGGAACCCAGAACTGGTATGAATGACATGGAGAGGAGAAAACCATCTTGCCTCTGCCAGAACTCCAACAGCCCAGCTGTCGAGCCCTAAGTCAGTTGCTATGCCGACTGCTATTCCAGCTCCTTTATTGCTATTTCACGATTATTAGCATTTGAAACATTTTCTATTCATGTTCATGAAGGTCACTCATCTCTACTGTGCACCAGTCACTAGCCAGTTGCTACACTGTGCTATCGTGGCTCCTCTGTTGTTATGAAAAAGTATTTGCAAAGCATTTTCTTTTATTCACTTGTAGCACTTTTACAACACACTTTTATTTATTTTTCAACATAGTGACCATGGATCATAATGCACTTAGCGAGCCTGCGAACAAGTTTTTTTTTTATTATTCCAGCGTCATAGAAATTTCCCACCTGCTCTCTTAGCCATGGAGAAGAGTTCTTGACACTTCTGGACATTGTTGATGAGGTTCACTGATGATTAAATGTATGTCAGCATGAATGTTTTCATGAGTTTTTTGGACGACTTCATCAATGACAGTGGATGGCCATCATGAACCTCTCTGCTTCAAATTCACACCACCATTCTGCCTGTTCATAACATCTTGAACAAGTTGGTGATGAATTTCAGCAGCAGATTCTCCTTTCATGTGAAGATATGAAATTACTGCAAGCACAATGTTGCTGTGACTTTGGCCAGTGAACTCAGCCTTGTAATGTGATTCCTATCTCACATGGCAGCACTGTCATTTCTGAGAAAAAAAAATCCTTTCCATTATTACAGGACTTGTATCTTTACTTTCAGGATATCCCTCATAGTTCATAACATTAGTGCCATTTGAAGCATGTTTAGTCTTTTCTTATTTACTATTTAGCATCTGTATATTCTATTCACATCTGTGAAGGCCATTCATCTCTACCATGCCCCATAAAGAAAATAAGTGGTTCATTTACAAAGTATGGTGTAGGCTGGTTCCTTATACTGGAGTAATGCTAGCACTATAAACAAAAATTATGCATGTTTCTGGATGATCAGACAGTATGGCTGAGCCAAACAAACAAGGAAGCTTACTGTAACTGAGGACAGTTAAGAGCTTCTGCAAATGGTGAATAGATGCCAGTAATGACAGCATTTCTAGCAGGATACTACATTACATGTCATCTGAGTTGCTGACCCAAAAAACTGTGCACCTACTGTACTGAAATTTTCAGGAAAAACAACTTTGTGGCAGGATAAATAGGCTTGCAGAAATTGTATACCTTTAGCAAACATAATTTTTAAGAAATGAGAATGGATCAGTACAGCAAAATGGAGATAAACAGATACAGAAGTATTATTTCTAAACAAAAGTAATAAGGTAATTTCCAAGAAAAGTAATACAATACACTCAATGCTCGATTATCTGGGATAATGGTGGGGATGGAAATCACAATTAATCGAAAACCCGGTTAAGACAAATTTTATTAAAAGTAGTACTGTAATACTGTACCTTCATAATACTATAGGCCGTACTTACTCATGGAGCTGAGCCCTTCTTCAGGAGCCACCAATTCTGCAGCTACTCAAGAATTTCCCAGCATTTTATGGAAACCGAAGGTTCATCACTGTGTTCACAAGAGCCCTCCACTGTCCCTATCCTGAGCCAGATCTATCCAATCCATACCATCCCATCCTATCTCTCTAAGATCAATTCTAATATTGTCCACTCACCTACGCCTTGGTCTTCCCTGTGGTATCTTTCCTTCTGGCTTTCCCACCAATATCCTATAC